ACTGGGGCTGGAGCTCCTGGGACAGTGGGAGCTGTCCCTGCCAGGGCTGGGGTGGCACTGGGTGGATTCCATGGATTTCTGCCTTTCCTGGGCCACTCTGCACAGCCACGGGTGTCCCTTAACTCACCCTGCAGGACCAATGAGAGGAGAAATGCTCCAAACACGGTCCCTGCAGAGGATCCCTGTGGAAGCCGAGAGCACAGCCCAGGGGAGCAGCTGGGATCAGCAGCCTGGCACTCAGCAGGGACAGCACGGGCTCGCAGCCATCAGGAAACCATCGGGGCCAGAGGGACAGCGGAGCCTGGGAAGGGCTTTCCAAGGAATGGCAGCGGGGAGCCCGGGCAGGGGACAGGCCCCAGCCGGTGTCACGGAGCGTGGTCCTGCTGCTCCTCACAGAATGGGACATTTCTGCTCCTTCCCCTCCTCCTCAGGCAGGCAGAGGTGCCTCTGCCTCCTGCCAGGGGCTGTGGGAGCAGCAGCTGGAGCCCACAGAGGGCCTTTGTGAGGGCAGGAACAGGCGCTGTCCCACAGGCAGCAGCTGAGCCCAGCCGGGATCAGGGGAGCGGGGCTGGAATCCCCCCGGGATCCAGAGCAGGACAGGATCACCCCCTGTGCCCAGCACACGGACACGGGCAGGGCAGCGTGGCCCTGGCAGCTGCAGCTCCATCAGCCCTAACCCGGCACAGGTCCTGGAAGGACCCTCAGCTGTGACAATCACAGGATTGGGATCCGTGTGCTTGGAGATCTCCAGGATCACCGAGTCCCAGCTGTGCCCCATCCCCACCTGTCCCCAGCCCAGAGCCCCCAGTGCCACCTCCAGTCCTTCCCTGGACACCCCCAGGGATGGGCACCCCAAACCTCCCTGGGCACCCCAAACCTCCCTGGGCACCCCCTTCCCAAGCACCTTTCCCATGGGATTTTCCCTCATGTCCAACCAAACCCCCCTGGCCCAGCCTGAGGCCGTTCCCTCTCCTCCTGTCCCTGTTCCCTGCCAGCAGATCCCAAATCCCCCCGGCTGTCCCCTCCTGCCAGGGACTTGTGCAGAGCCAGAAATTCCCCCTGAGCCTCCTTTGCTCCAGCCTGAGCCCCTTCCCAGCTCCCTCAGGAATTCTCCAGCCCCTTCCCAGCTCCCTCAGGAATTCTCCAGCCCCTTCCCAGCTCCCTCAGGAATTCTCCAGTCCCTTCCCAGCTCCCTCAGGAATTCTCCAGCCCCTTCCCAGCTCCCTCAGGAATTCTCCAGCCCATCCCAGCCCCATTCCCTTCCCCAGCCATTCTGTGCAGCTCTATGTTATGTCTGTCCCATACCCCGACAGACGAAGCCCCCTCAGAGCGATGTCCCCAGTGCCAGCCCAGGCCCAGCTCAGTCACTCTCGGGTCACAGAACTCCTGTCCCCTCCTCCCGGTGCCTCTCAGCCCCAGGGGCTCTTCCCTGTCCCGAGGAAGGTCAGGGCTGCCTCCTCAGTGATGGGTCAGGGACACTGGCCGGAGCCTGGAGCCAGCCAGGACAACTCATGGGACGCTCCAAACCCGTCCCAGGTGGGGAGAACAACTTGGAACCTCTGGAATTGGGGAGTTCAGAGGAGCCTCTGGTGAAGCAGCAGGGCTGCAGCACACGGGTACATGAGACAGACGGGATGTAAAAATCCCCTTTTTACCAAGGAAGACTCTCCCAAGTGTCCTCATCCCCTTGGAATTTGAGCTCCTTCCAGGGGCATTAATCAACGTGGCTTCCATTTGTCACGCTGAGGTCGCTCACCCTCCCTCAGGGTCCCATTTGGCCGGGAGAATTCACTTTATCTGCTGATGTAGGGAGAAAAATATTACTAAAAGCTTGACTTTCAAACCTTGCTCGTGTGAAAGAGTCGGGTCTCTCCCGTTTCCAGCCGGATTCCTGCCCCAGGCTGAATTCCTGCCCCGGCCCAGCGCTGACTGCGGCTGCCCCAAGCGCAGCCAGCGGCTCATAAAGGCAGCACAAAGGAAACAATATTTTAAAATCTGCTTTACTGGATTCAAGTGGGATCTGCACTGATGAACAGCCAGTCAGGAAGTTGTGTCCTCCTCAGGGAATTGTTTCAGGAAAAGTGAATTATAATCCAGGATGCACTCAGGGAAAAAATGAGATGGACTTTGGGGAGGGCTGATAGGAAATCCATAATCCACCTCATTTTAGGTGCCAGTGCAGGGCTTGGGACTGCACGGGCTTTAAGGTCCCTTGCAATCCCAACCATCCTGGAATTCTGGAAATGGTTTCCTTGCCTGCTTTGGCACAGGGCAAACCCTTCATCTTCTCCTCTCCCAAGTCTCCCCGTTGTGCTCTCCATGACAAAACCAAGGGGCCAGCAGAAACCCTGGGGACAGTCCCCAGCAGCCTCCCACGCTGGCCAGGCCCAGGAGAGGGGCAGCAGCAGCAGGGACTGCAGACTGAGGGACACTCGAGCCGTGTTTTCACATCACCACCACCACAATGTATCTCCATGGAAACCCTTCCAGATCCCAGCCAGGAGAGAACCTGTCCCAGACACCCAGCCAGGCCCACCAGCCCCTGCTGGAGAGGGGCTCTCCGTGGGAGAGATCCCAAAAACCATCCAGCCCCTGCTGGAGAGGGGCTCTCCGTGGGAGGGATCCCAAAAACCATCCAGCCCCTGCTGGAGAGGGGCTCTCCTTGGGAGGGATCCCCAAAACCATCCAAACCTGCTGGAGAGGGGCTCTCCTTGGGAGGGATCCCCAAAACCATCCAAACCTGCTGGAGGGGGGCTCTCCTTGGGAGAGATCCCAAAAACCATCCAAACCTGCTGGAGAGGGGCTCTCCTTGGGAGGGATCCCCAAAACCATCCAAACCTGCTGGAGGGGGGCTCTCCTTGGGAGAGATCCCAAAAACCATCCAAACCTGCTGGAGAGGGGCTCTCCTTGGGAGAGATCCCAAAAACCATCCAAACCTGCTGGAGAGGGGCTCTCCTTGGGAGAGATCCCAAAAACACCCACAGGGCTGCCCGTGACACAGAAGGATCAGGACTGATTCCCTCAGGATGGAATTCACAGCACAAAGGAAGAACGAGTGGGAATGGTCATAAAGGAAGGAATGGAAGGCACTTCTGAAGGGAAAAAAAAGCCTCTCATTTCAAAATGAAGCAGATGTCAAAGCAAAAGGTGAATTTTTACACCTCTTTTCCATCTCATCCAGGAGGTTTCCAGCTGCAGGTCAGGCTGTGGACACACATCTGTCCTACACAGCAATGATCAAAGGACAAATGTGAATAACTGAAAACACAAACCTGCTCCCACAGGGTTGAAAAAACACCCAGTCCTGCCCTAATTCCACCTCCAGAGCTCTGCAGGACTTGCCCTAGAAGTCTCTGTGTACAGTAGATTTAGAGGGGATGACTCCACACTCTGGAATCAACACAAGACAAGCACGATTTCCTGAGTTTTTGGAAAGAAGTTTGGTGTGTTGGAAGCAGTGGCTGCAAATGTCAACAGCCTCCTTCCCCAGAACTGGAAACACGGGATGCTGCACCCACAGCAGCTTCAGCCAGCCTTGGAACAGGGCAGGGGCACTTCAGGAGCATCCCCCACGGAGAAATCAGGGAAGGAGGGATGGGAACACCCCCTCCACCCATTCTGGGGGGAAATTTCATCACCCAAAGCTTTGTCCAGCCCTGGGGTCCCCATCCTTGGGGGGATTTCACAGCCCTGTGCGTGTGGCACTTGGGGACAAGGCTCAGGGGTGGCCCTGGCACTGCTGGGGGAACACTGGGCTCCATCTCAGAGGGATTTGGGGGCAGCAAGGCCCTCAGGCTCCCTTTGTGTCTCCTGGAAAGCACAAATCAGCAGCTGAGTGGCCTTGAGCGTGCTCCAAGGGAGGCAGGATCTCGTCAGGGCTCCAACACCCCCGGTCTCCTTCCCAGGGAACAAACCTGCCCCTGTGTCTCAGGGAATCCAGCAGGGAGCCCAGCCCCAGAACTCCCAGCCCCTTTTCCTTCAGGAGCACACAAAGCTCATTTCCAGCCCCAGAACAAAACCCCAAAGGCAAGGCAGCAATTCCATCCCGCCTGATCCCAAGGACAAGGCAGTGGAAGGAGCCAATTCCAGGTGAAGGCCGGGTTGGACAGGGCAGGGGGTGGCACTGGAGGGGCTCCCAGCTCCCTGCAACAGATCCTCTGATCAACAGGTAAAACTGGATTTTGGGATGTGGGAAGGTCTGAGGAGACAAGGCACAGTCTGAGCTGATTTATCCCAGCCATGGGATGGAGTTATTTGTAATCTGCACTGAGACCAGACCAGATCAGGGAATCCTGGAATGGTTTGGGATGGAAGGGACCTTAAATCCCATCCCATCCCTTCCCACCCCATCCATGGGCAGGGACAGCTCCCATTGTCCCAGGTGGATCCAATCCCAATGTCCAGGACATTCCCAGGGATCCAGGGGTCAGCCCCAGCAAATCTGGGAATTGCAGCCCAGGCAGGAATTCCTTGCCAAGATCCCAGCCCAATCTCCCCTTTCCCAGTGAAGCCATTCCTTGGCCCCTGGCCCTCCCAGGCTCTCCTGGAGCCCCTTTCAGGCTCTGGAGGGTCTCTCCAGAACCTTCCATCTCCAGTGGTGCCCAGCCCTCCCAGCACTGGGTGTTCCCTCCCAGCTGCCTCTGGCCTGGGTTGCCACAAACATCCGAGGCAGAGATCATCGGAAGCCACAGCTCACACCCACTCTGCTCTCCTCAGATGTCTCTTCCTGTTTATCCATCCTGTGACTGCTCAGGGGTGATCAGATCAAACTGGGACAGGTCACAAACCTCATCCCCCCCTGCACCTTCTCAGTGATGCTGCTCCAGGGCACAGCCAGGGGTCCTGGCAGGACAAACCACCTGGGAAAGGGGATTATCCCAGGAAAGGCCTAAAAACCCCCACGTCACCAGAGCTGTCCCTGCTCAGCCTCTCCTGGTCCCTACACAAACACAGCTGCACCACTTATAACAACTCACCTGTTTTATTGAAGGGTTCTGCAGTATAAAACATAACAAGGGAATTTTCTACATTGAGACAGGAATTTAAAAAGTTTAAAAATCCCCATTAAAATCCATTGAAAATAAATATAGAAAACTGCTATTCCAATCAGGGAGTTATAAATATATTATGAACCAAGTTTTTCCAGACTGTTTCCCCTGCAAGTGCCTAACACCACTATAAAAACACAGCTATTTATTTAAAACCCTGACACTGCCCCCAAACAACTGATTCTTACACAGGGCAGAATTAATCAGTACAAAAGTGACCCAAGAGCACAAACTCGAGCTGCAGAAGCATTTACTGCTTTCTCCCTGTCCCAGCAGGTGCTGCTGCAGCCCAGCCTGGCTGGAGAGGCTCCCCTCAGCTCCAGGACACCTTCTTCCCCAGGACACGGTTGGTGATTTTCTGAGAGAAAAACAAAAGGACACAGATGAGTTTCAGTGATTTGAAAATGAAAACTGCTGAGCACAGGTTCTCTGCAGAGACTGTTGTGCAACCCCAGAGGGGTTTGGGTGGGAAGGGCGCTTCAAGCCCCTCCAGGGCCACCCTAACCCTAACCCTAACCCTAACCCTAACCCCTAACCCTAACCCTAACCCTAACCCT